AAAAAAAAAAAACAAAAAACAGAAGGGCCTTGAACCAATAATACTGTATCCAGCACGATTATCATTTAAATTTGAAGGAGGGATTAAACAATTTCCAGATAAGTAAAAGTTGAGGGAATTTACCTCCCACAAACCATCTCTACAGTATATTTTAAAGGGACTGCTCTAGATGGAAGTGCTCGTAAGGCTAACTAGATGTCACCAGAGAAAATAAAACCATAGCAAAGAAAGTAGACCAATTAAATGCAAAATGAAATCAGCTATCCACAAAATCAGTCAAAGGAAACACAAAAGAGTACAGAATAAAACACCTAACATATAAAGAGTGGAGGAGGAAGAAAAAGAAGGGAGAGCAATAAAGAATCATCAGACTGTGTTTACAATAGCATAATAAGTGAGTTAAGTTAGATGGTTAGATAGCAAAGAAGCTACCCTTAAATCTTTTGTAACCAGGAATCTAAAGCCTGCGATGGCAATATCTATCGATAATCACCATAAATGTAAATGGACTGAATGCAACAATCAAAAGACACAGAGTAATAGAATGGATAAAAAAGCAAGATCCATCCTGCCTAAAAGAGACTCATCTCAAACCCAAAGACATACACAGACTAAAAGTAAAGGGATGGAAAAAAATATTTCATGCAAACAATGGGAAGAAAAAAGGTGTTGCAGCACTTGGATCAGACAAAATAGACTTCAAAACAAAGAAAGTAACAAGAGATAAAAAGGACATTACATAATGATAAGGGGGTCAGTACAAGAGGATATAACCATTATAAATATCTATGCACCCAACAGGATAACTTACATATCTGAAACAAATACAGAATTAAAGGAAGAAATAGAATGCAATGCATTCATTTTAGGAGAGTTTAAAACACCACTCACTCCAAAGGACAGATCAACCAGACAAAAATAACAAGGGCCACAGAGGCACTGAACAACACACTAGAACAGATGGACCTAACAGACATCTACAGAACTCTACACCCAAAAGCAGCAGAATACCCATTCTTTTCAAGTGCACATGGAGCATTCTCCAGAATAGAGCACATACTAGGCCACAGAAAGAGCCTCAGTAAATTCAAAAAGATTGAAATTATACCAACCAATTTCTCAGATCACAAAGGAATAAAACTAGAAATAAATTGTACAAAGAAAACAGAAAGGCTCACAAACACATGGAGGCCTAACAACATGCTCCTAAATAATCAATGGATCAATGACCAAATTAAAACAGAGATCAAGCAACATATGGAGACAAATGAAAGCAGCAGCCCCAACTTCTGTGGGACACAGCAAAGGCAGTTCTAAGAGGAAAGTATATAGTGATCCAGGCATATTTAAGGAAGGAAGAACAATCCCAAATGAATAAAGTCACAATTATTGAAACTGGAAAAAGAACAAATGAGGCCCAAAGTCAGCAGAAGGAGGGACATAATAAAGATCAGAGAAGAAATAAATAGAATTGAGAAGAATAAAACAATAGAAAAAAATCAATGAAACCAAGAGCTGATTCTTTGAGAAAATAAACAAAATAGATAAACCCATACCCAGACTTCTTAACAGAAAAAGAGTATAAACACACATTAACAGAGTCAGAAACGAGAAAGGAAAAATCACAACAGACCCTACAGAAATACAAAGAATTATTAGAGAATACTATGAAAACCTATATGCTAAGAAGCTGGAAAACCTAGAAGAAATGGACAACTTCCTAGAAAAATACAACCTTCCAAGACTGACCCAGAAAGAAACCGAAAATCTAAACAGACCATCTACCAGCTATGAAATTCAAGTAGTAATAAAAAAACTACCAAAGAACAAAACCCCAGGGCCAGATGGATTCATCTCAGAATTTTAACAGACATACAGGGAAGACATAATACCCATTCTCCTTAAAGTTTTCCAAAAAATAGAAGAGAAGGGGATNCATCACCCTAATACCAAAACCAGGCAAAGCACCACAAAAAAAGAAAACTATAGACCAATATCCCTGATGAACATGGATGCAAAAATACTCAACAAACAGCTACATGTAAGAGAATGAAACTGGAATATTGTCTAACCCCATACACAAAAGTAAACTCAAAATGGATCAAAGACCTGAATGTAAGTCATGAAACCATAAAACTCTTAGAAAAAAATATAGGCAAAAATCTCTTGGACATAAACATGAACAACTTCATGAACATATCTCCACGGGCAAGGGAAACAAAAGTAAAAATGAACAAGTGGGACTATATCAAACTAAAAAGCTTCTGTACAGCAAAGGATACCATCAGTAGAACAAAAAGGTATCCTACAGTGTGGGAGAATATATTCATAAATGATAGATCCGATAAAGGGTTGACATCCAAGATATATAAAAAACACACACCTCAACAAACAAAAAGCAAATAATCCAATTAAAAAATGGGCACATGATCTGAACAGACACTTCTCCAAAGTAGAAATTCAGATGGCCAACAGACACGTGAAAAGATGCTCCACATCGCCAATCATCAGGGAAATGCAAATTAAAACCACAATGAGGTATCACCTCACACCAGTTAGGATGGCCAACATTCAAGACAAACAACAAATGTTGGTGAGGATGTGGAGAAAGGGGAACCTACACTGCTGGTGGGTATGTAAACTAGTTCAACCATTGTGGAAAGCAGTATGGAGGTTCCTCAAAAAACTCAAAATAGAAATACCATTTGACCCAGGAATTCCACTCTTATGAATTTACCCTAAGAATACAGCAGGCCAGTTTGAAAAAGACGTATGTATTCCTATGTTTATTGCAACACTATTTACAATAGCCAAGAAATGGAAGCAACCTAAGTGTCCATCAGTAGATGAATGGGTAAAGAAGATATCATACATATACACAATGGAATACTACTCAGCCATAAGAAAGAAACAAATTCTACAATTTGCAGCGACATGGATTGAGCTGGAGAATATTATGCTCAGTGAAATAAGGCAGGCTGAGAAAGACAAGTACCAAATGATTTCCCTCATTTGTGGAGTATAACAACGAAACAAAACTGAAGGAACAAAACAGCAACAGACTCACAGACTCCAAGAAGGGACTGGAGGTTACCAAAAGGGAGAGTTGGGAGGAGTGGGTGGGGAGGGAGGAACAAGGGGATTCAGGGGTGTTATGATTGGCACACATGGTGTGGGGGTATCAGAGGAAGACAGTGTAGCACAGAGAAGGCAAATAGTAACTGTGGCATCTTACTACACTGATGGGCAGTGACTGCAGTGGGGTATGGGGGGGACACAATAGCAGGGGTGAATGTAGTAACCACATTGATTTTTCATGTGAAACATTCATAAGAGTGTATATCAATAATACTTTAATAAAAAAAATAGACCAATGAAATAGAAGAGTCCAGAAGTAGATTGATATGTATTTGGCCAATTCATTTTTTCACAAAGTTGTCAAGGGAATTTAATGGGAATAAGAAAATATTTTCAGCAAATGGTGCTGGATATCCATGGGGGTGGAGAGGGAAGTGGGGTGTGATTCTTACCTCACACCATATACAGAAACATTAATAATTCAAAATGGATCAAAGACCTGAATATAAGAGCTAAAACTGGAAGATTCCCAAAAGAAAACAGTGGTGACTTTGGGTTTGGCAATTTCTTAAATTCATTAAAAAGACTAATTCATTCAATTAGTCTTCATGAAAATTAAATGCTTTTCCATTTAAACAATACTTACAAGAAAATGAAAGACCTTTTTCCCCAGACTTGGAGAACATTTTTACAAAACATAATGCCTGACAAAGACTTCTTTCTAGGGTATGTAAAGAACTCTTACTTACCATGAAGAGGATAAATAACAAAAATATGAGGAAAAGTTCAACAGACACTTCACCAGAGGCTATACCATACGATGAAAAAGTACATGAAAGGATGTTCATCATTAGTTGTTAGGGAAATGCAAATTATGATACAGTGAAGTAACACACATTATGTGCACATTAAAATGGCTAAAATTAAAAGATTCATCATACCAGTGTTGGTAAGGATGTAGACAACTGGGCCTCTCACAGACTGCTGTTAATAAAGTAGAATGACACAATCACTTTGGAAAACATTTTGCAGTGAAACATAGATATAACTCCAGCATTCTAATTCTAGATATTTACTCAAGAGAAATTAACAACTTGTACACAATGTTTTTAGCACCTTTATTTGTAATAGCCAAAAACTGGAAACTCAAATTTCCAGGTGTATGGATAAATTATGGTACATCTATACATAAATTAATACTCAGGAATAAAAAAGTAATGAATTACTAATGCACACACGGACAAATCTCCAAATAATTATGATCAGTGTAAGAAGACAAAAAAGTATATGATCTGATTCCATTTTTAAGTAATTCTAAAAAATTCTAACTAGTGTAGAGCGGCAAAGCGGATCAGTGATTGCCTGGGGACAAGAGCAGCTAGAGAGGTTATAAAAGAGCACAAGAAAATTCTGTGACAAGGGGAGAGGTATGTTCATTATTTTGATTGGAGTGGTTTCATAGATGTATACGTGTCAAATTTTATCAAACTATACATTAATTTTAAAAGGTCATTTGGCTTTTTCACTCTTGTACTCTGCTGTTTTCCAAAGATGAAATGACATGATGATGTCATCATTCTTACAGCTAATGGAATGTGTGGTCATGTATTCTTCTGCTTAAAATTTTCCTATTTTCCAATATCGTAAGTATCTATATACATGTAAACAGTGTTGTGCTAGATCAGGGATGCCGCATCTCACAAGAGCTAAGTGTGCATCTATTCCCAACTGTGTGTTTAGAGGTGTCATTGATAGCTTGAATTTGGCCATGGTGGAAGTATTTATAGCATGGAAATCGGCAAACACTAAAACAAAATCAGGGTTTTTTTCTTGGACAGGTCATTGTTAAGCATTTACTAGCCTACTACTAGCTGTAACATACATAAACAAAAGCTCACTAGAATTCTAATTTTTAATTGTGCAAAAGGATTCTGAGAACCACCAGGCCGAAAACTTGCCTTTTTCAAGCTAAAAAATGTTACTCGAGAGAAAAGAAAAAAGAAAAAGAGACTTTCTGACTCACCCTTATCCAGAAAATCTTTTGCACAGACTCACACTTCAGTTGCCTTGACCAAATGCCACCACCTGCCATTCTCACACAGACCTTACTGCTGACCCATCCTCTCCCCTACACCTACTCTGGGCTGAATAATTAGCTCCTTGAATGTGAAGGGCCTGGAGGCTGCTGGGAAGGGTGGGGCTGCCATCTCTTCTAGCAAACGCCAAGGACCCATCATCTTGCTTCCCAAAGATACACAGACCCAAAATGTAACTAAGGTACTGTACAGAAAAGCACCAGACCAAGGTTTCTACATAATGGATTCCTTCTCTGTAATAAGGGGTTCGTGACACAAATATATTCAAATCAGGTAAATCAACCACCAGGATACCAAAAGCTGATAAGTTTACCAATTGCTTTGAAGCAACTTAAATATAGATTTATTATAACCATTCCCTCTTATGCTCTGCAGTGCTAGCCTGAGCCCTCTTTGATTATTTAGTATGACATGGATAATATCGTGTGCTGATGCTCCATCGTCTCAATAAAGAGTTCCCAGGAAAGGAAAAGGCTGAAATTATTAAAACAAACAAACAAAAACTCTATTGAAGAATTTAGCAGGGAGTTGATTATGTTCTAAAAACTTATCCTGTTTCATGACACATTGGAAACATAAAGCTTAGGGCTTTTTGGCCTCCACTGCATAGAGGTCTGATCGCTTCTGGCTAAAAATGGGGATCTGCTGGCGTATTTCAGTCAACTTCTTCAGGTCTGCAAAAACAGGAAAGTGTACTATTAATAAGATGTAACTCCTCACTAACCAGTAGGAATTTCTTTCCCAAACACAGCAGGGTCTCATCAACGAATTCAGTAATACAGGCTTTGTCAAAGCACAGATGGCCTTGCATGGCCCCTGGAGTCATTTCAAACTAAACCAAGAAAACTCAACTGAGCCCCAGGGCTTGGCCAGAGAACCAAAGGAAAATTAGAAGGGGACACAAAGGAGCTCCTCCAGGTGACAGGGCTTCCCAGCTACGAAACTTGGCCTCAGAGCAGTGGGGACACCAGAGACAAACTGTGCGGGGCAAGTCTTACCTATGTCTGAATACACGATGGTTTCCTCAGTGCCTGCTTTGGCAAGGACCTCCCCCCTGAAAAAGATTCAGGAGAGAGTGAGTGAGTTCACTTATGTTTGCTGGTATTTAACCTCTCTTTCTGTTTTTTTCCTCCACAGCTCATAGACAAAAGGGAACAGAGTCTGAGATTTAAGAGAGGAAGGGCTTAAATTCCTGTTCTGCCATTTATAGCTGTGTGGCCTTGTGCCAAGTCATTTGGAATGTCCATTTCCTAAACAGTAGAAATAAGACTGTGAGAACCTAGTGAGAAAATTATGGAGTATGTTTTGTAAACTGAAAACTGATAGGAAGTTATTCTATAATTTCAAAAATCTGGGAATAGAACTACTATAACCAGCAGGACACTCCATCTGCCCCCTCCTGAATGCATGTCAGCAAGGACCGTTTGCGAGGGTGGTCAGTTTCTTCATGCCTCCTTGGACTGCTAACAACCCCTGGGGACAGCAAGCCTGGGCCTGGGCAGGGCCCAGATCTGCTGGGATCTCTGGTCTCATGCCTGTAATCCCTGCATCCCTATTTTAATGAGTTTCAGTTTTTAAAGGAAAGGTTTCAGCCTGTAAGGTCTGGGTAGAAGTGATGGGGAAACCCCACTCTTGAAAAGAGCAATAGCTCCTTCATGTATCTGGAGAAAGGCTCATCTGGGAAACAATTTCTAGTACTATGTGTCTTGGCACAAAGCAAGGCTTCGAAAACATGCCAAGTGAAATGAAATTTCTCCAAAGTAAAAAACAAAGTATTAGACATAACAAACAATCTGCCATATAACCGGGTCCATTTACCAGATGGCCACAAACACATTTTTGGCACAAATGAGCTATAAACACCATCATTAATGCCATTTAACTGAATCCTTTTCCATTCTTTTCTGTTTCCTCCCCATTTGCCCTGGGATTCAAAGATCTCTTTTTGTTTTAACCCCAAGCACTCATCCAACATCAGTATAAGCCAGAGGGCCAGAAGTCCTACAGATGGAATTCTGAAAAGGGAGAAACAGAGGTAAATCTTACACAACTACTTCATGTCAGAGGCAGCCAGCCTGATCAGCAACAAAGTTCATCAGGAGAACCAGCAGGGGAGCCGTGCTGCCCAAAGGCCAGGAAGCCTGTCACCAGCATCGGGACAGAACTTGAACCAAGGCTGAGGAAGTTTCCAAGCCAACTTAATCCTTCTAGTCTTCCAAGGTCCCCACCCCAAATCTTAACGTACAGGCTCACTGGCAATCTCTCCCTGGTCCTGTTTCACAAGGCCTCCCCCATCACACACACACTTTAAGTTTTGGGTCCTGTAAGGTCAGGAAGTCAAGAGAGCCTTTCGTGACCCCACAATGATATATAACCCTATCCAGTTTTGTCACTGGTATACTGATCCTGAAATTGTAGAAATACACATCTGTGGGTGTCTATGTGTGTAATCACAGAGATGTATGAGGAACAGTATGGAATTAATCCAAGTTCTGAGGTCAAAAGTGCTGGATCCAAACACCAATTCTAGCTACTTTAATCTGTGAACTTCAATTTCATCATCTCTAAACTGGTCTTAACATAGGCTAAGTACCTGAGCGATCAAATTGTATGAAAGTGCTATGTAAACTACAAATGCAGAACATAAGATACACAGATTAACATGACTGCACGTCTGTCTGGACTTTGGTGTTGGCTTCACTGAGTAATAAAATGCTTCCCACCCTCACAGAGGACAAATTCGTCGTTTCCCTTAATCGAATGCATTATCCCCCTCTTCTAATCATTACACAGTGGGAGCAAAATCCTCACCCTGTAACTCACTCCTGCCTAGGACCAATCACCTAGTCTAAATTTTAACCAAAAGCCAAGAATTTGGGAGCCTCTTCTACTAAAACCAGCCGCCCACCACTGCTGCTTTATTTCCCCTGTGCAATCCAAAGTCTGTCGGTTAGCGAAAGCTGCTCAGAAACTCAGGAGAGTTAAGCACAAACGCTCCAGGGCAAAATCATTTCTTCCTCACATGGCTTTCAAGTGGAAGCTGATCCCTGAGAGGCAGAGACCTGGGGGCATGTGGGGATAAGGGGTTGAGGAGGGGTAGGGCCAGTCAGGAATCAGGCAACCACAGGCCAGAGTGCCATTTCTCTCAAGCTCCCAGTGAGACTGTCCCTGCTTAACCAACTCACCAAGGAGTCACAATAGTGCTGTGTCCCCAGGCAACATAAGAGGCTTTGTCATCCCGGGCAGGAGATGCTGTGGCCACATAAACCTGATTATCAACAGCCCTATAATCAGTGGACAGAAAAGAGGTAAATCATATATTACAGATGTGTGACATTTTTCCACCCCATGTACAGATCCTTCTTTCAAAAAAAACTAGGGTAGGACATGCTGGCTTAGATGTGGATGGACACTGCCGGATCATGAGGGTAAACAACTGATACACTGACCACCATTCTGTACCTGTATGACCATTCTGTTTTCACTTTCAGTACAGTACCCAATAAATTACGTGAGATATTCAACACTTTATTATGAAACAGGTTTTGTGGTAGATGATTTTGCTCAACTATAGACATGTCCTGAGCACATTTAAGGTAGGCTAGGCTAAGCTACAATGTTCAGTAGGTTGGCTGTATTAAGTGCATTTTCAGCTTACAGGTTTGCTGGGACATAACCCCATCGTAAGTCAAGGAAGATCTGCACTGTCAGTTCAGAGACTCTGGTCTGAGCCAACCTATTACATGTAAAAGAGCAGAGCTTCTCTGGTTAGTGCAAGTCAACACAGCCAGAGAATGGAGAGGCCTTGCTGGGCCATACACTGTGAAGGCTGCATGGTACTTCCACACTGACGGTGGCAGGCCCATCACCTCAAATTAAGTAGAAATTTCAGGTGGCAGCCTGGCTACATCAAGCCACTTCATCTGGGAGCTCTCTGGGCTCAATCCACAGATCCATGCCAGGTCATCCCAGTATCTCCCTGGCTTTTCTTGTTCTCAACAAGACTATTTATTCACTCCACCTTCTACCAAGCAACCAGCCAAACACCTCTACTTTCTCCTCCAGTAAAAATCACCGTCCAATCACCGTCCTCTCTAGAAGTGAGAATAGCAGCTAGCTCTGAGTGGAGAGTGAAGAGGACTGACTGGGAAGGGGCAAAAGGAGAGTTCTGGAGGCTGGAGACATTCCACGCTGATCCAGTCAGAGGTGAACACGTGCATGAAAATTCACTGACCTACAATCAGTGCACTTTTTAAATATATTAATACTTCAGTGAACAAAACTGTAATGAAGAAAACCATCTCCAACTAGTATTTCATGGTTTGCAGAGCACGTTACACAGACAGTCACACCCCTTTTCCCTTCCATGTACATCACCCCTCAGCCTTAGGAGACTTAGGGGACTAAGGCAACAGCAACTGTGACAGGCCAAAGATTTTGTGCCATGCCTAGGACCTGTATGTTAGAAGAACAGGAGCTTATTCCAAGTCTGTTGCCAGAGCATCACCAGAAATAGGATGGTGTGGTGGATGGAGTAGGATAAGCACCCCAATCTAAGAAGCCCAGAGTCAGTTGGGTGATTCATCTTTTCCAGTTGCTCGTGGTTACCAGGGCCTCCTGAGTCAGGGGCAGCATTCTGTACTGGGAAGGTCTGCTGGCGATGCTTTCTTACCGGCCTCGCTGAAGCAACTCCCAGTGGGCTGGTCCAGTTGTCAGATTAAAAGCTCCAGGATATACCAAGAGCTGGCAGCCTTGAAAGAAAGGTCAGAGTGGATACAGGTGAAAGCCAGTCACATTGGACTCTCTGTTAATTCCTTACCCAGTGGGGACCAAACTCAAACTTTCCCAAGCATAAAGAGATGTCAACCAAGTCAGGCAGGGGCAGCAACATTACATTATGGCTCTGAATTACTTAGAGGCACATACATGAAACATGTACAGATGCATAAGAAAAGAGGTATTGATGACTGAAACTGTAATTTATGACTTCACTTAAAAAAGTGGAGAATGGGGGTGGGAAGTGGAGAACTGTCATTCGTATTTCTCAGCACTGCATGGTCAGCTCTGCATGCCAAGGACCTTGTCTTGTAGTGCTTTTCAAATGAAATGGAAGGCAGAGTAGGTGCTCTACTGCTTAGTGCTAAGACAACAGAGTGGGTGCCAACCCACAGCTCATGGGCCTCCATCTTCTGCTCGGAAAGCAGGCAAACTGTTTGCACCCACTTCAAGTGACAGCTGAATTGGAATCGGAGTAGTTTTGTCAGTCTGGTAGGGATGCTAATTGTTGGGAACCATATGAAGAACTCTCTAAATTCTGTCTCCTTAATGCTCACCCCATTCCTAGGGGAAAACTGAGATCCACACAGCTTCCATGATTAAGTAATTTACCCAAAGTATCGTGCCAATTAAGAGGAAGAGTTGGAACCAGAACCCAGATCTTCTGACTTGGCTGAATGCTCTTCTAGGACAGGAAGATGCTTTTATAGACCAAAATTCACTGATATCTACTGTACTGACCAGCTGGACTACCGAGTGGTAAAATCCACGAGGGCACAGAACCCATCTTCATTTCTGTTGGGCTCCAAGTGACTCCTTCTAAATACAGTGGCAGGAAGGGCTCAAAGGGTAGAGCAGATTTAGAAGTACATACCTTAGCTACAGTGTGTTAAATTACAAACAAAAACCTGTATTGCCCATACATAGCCAAAGTGGAAGAGGTCAAATGGGGGTGGAGAGATTAAGACCTTAAGACCTCTTCTCCAGTTTTTCTGCTAAGGGCTCCCTCTATCCACGAAGACCAGCACAGAATCCAACCTCCAAGCACCTACACAACTGTGTCTCACCTCTCTGTGCGTAGATTTGTGCAAGCTCTGCAAAGCGGATGTCGTAGCAGATGCCCAGGCCCACTCTGCAGTAAGCTGTTTCCCAAACAGAAAATGCATAAATGGGAAGTTAATCTCCAGCAGCAAGGTGTGGCAGGGTAAAGCCTCCCTGATCTAATGACCACAAAACACTGACAGGGACACATGAACGCAGGGCCCATGGATGGAGAAAACTTAGTAACTTGGATTTCACCTCATAAAGACATCATTTATATCAGCAAAGTGGAGATGAGAAATTCATTATAATTGAATGCCTATTATCTAAGTGGGAGGTGTTCAATCGCATCCTAATAGGTACAATCTGAATGCTATCATACTAATAGGAGGGTGTGACCAAATGGAAGAGCAAAAGCACATCAAACCCTAGTTCTCCTTTCAGCCCATGCTTTCCAGACCTTTGACCATTCTCTGTTCCTTCTCACTTCTGGTCTTTCAGTCAGGTTATGTAAAGAAGGGAGGGAAGTAAGAGAAAAGCAAAGGAATGCCTGATCCTCTTCTACTGGGACTGCTGAAAGAGGTGAACTTATCTGGTACATACGTGTATCAAACATGGAGAAACTATCACCAGGACTCAATGTTTCAGATTCTTGAAAAGTAATTTTCCCAGGAACATCAATATCAAACAGATGGAGCTGCATCACAAATAATGGATTTGGTTACCTCTTCCAAGCAGGGTTATAACAGTAATACCAAATGTCTTTCCACTGCCAGAAATGGGGGGAGCTCTAAGAACTGCACAGACAGCATCCCCAATCTACCCACAACCCACCCCACACTCTGACACCTCACCAAAACGAGTTCTAATAGCAGAAACTGAATAAATAATACTGCAGGTTTTATGATCCATCTTTCCTAGACAGTCTGCACATCAATGTCTATCTAGGTTTCTTATGGGAAGCAATTAATATGACTCCTCAGAATCAGAGGACAAGGCAGGATAGGTGGGGAGTGGGTGAGCAACGAAAAATACCTAAAACTTTGCAAACCAATTGCAGCTACAAAAAAATAGCATATCACTTCCAAATTGGATTTATTCAAGGAAAGCAAATGTGGTTAGCTTTAGAAAATCAATCAATATAATTTACAACACTAACAAAAGAGAAGTCATATGATCATCTTAAGAGGTACATGAGCATTTGGTAACCTTCTATATCCATTCTTATTTTTAAAACAAAAGAGAAAAACTCTTCCAGGAGGGAAACTTCCTTAATGTGATAAAGTGTATCTAAAAGAAAAAACAAAAACAAAAACCTAACTGAAGAAACATTGTACTTAATGGTGAATCAGTAAAAGCTTCCTATTGAGATCAGGAATAGGATGAGGACAGCAGCTCTTCAACACTGTACCAGGGGTTGCTGATGGTGTCCTTTGCTGTACAAAGTGACAAGGCAAAAGAAAGGAATAAAAAGTATAAGGATGAGAGAAAAAAAATTAAATTGGTCATTATTTTCAATGATAGAACTGCATATCTAGAAACTCTACAGGAAATCTACAGATAAACTATTAGAATTAATAAGTGAATTTAGAAAGGTTACTATGGACATCAATATTTTTTAAATTAGCTGTACTTCTATATGCTAGCAAAAAACACCAATTAGGAATAGACCCAGAAAAGGATATACAGAACTATAACCAAAAAACTACAAAAACAATTTGAGAGACATTTAAGAAAGTCTAAATAAACGGAGGGATATACACCATATTTATGGACCAGAAAACTCAATACTGAAAATACATATTTCAAAGAGTGGGGTTAATAGCTCAATGCTGGCTCCTCTTCCAGTAGTGGTAGAGTGGCTCCTATCAGACTAGCTTTCTCATAATATCAATGAACTCTGGACAAAACAAAAAGTACAAGTACTTAGAAGCACCAGAGATTGATCAAAACAAAATCAGGCAAAAACTGAAGGGAAGTCACACTGGGAAGAAGGGAATAGCTTGGGTGGGTTTCCCATTTGTTCACAGCTTTTAGTTGGAAGCAAGGCCCCAGCTGTTGCTGCAAGGGTGGTAGAACTACGCCTGATCATATTTGTTTGATGTACAGGGGATGTTTCACAGCAGCTGGAAAGTGAGGGGGAAATCCTGAAAAGGAGAAGCCAAAGAGTAAGAGCCTTAAGTTCGATATATAAAATCTGCCCAAATCTCTGGCTAACCATGAAATTAAACATATGTGGGGAAGACTCCAAGCAGCCTAGCTAAAACTAAACAACTTTATATAGAACAGAATAGCTGAAATTGTTGCCCATCTCACCAAAGAGAGTTTGGTGTTTGAGTACAGCCAAGTACTTGCTAAAACAAAAATATTCAACACTTTTCAGAGAAATACAATAGAAGGTAGAATCTCAACAACATATAATCCAAAATTACCAAACATGCAAAGAAACAAGAAAATGAGACTCAAACTCTAAGGCAGTAAATGGATCCGACACCAACAAGATCCTGATATAATTACCAGACTTTGAAGTAGCTACTGAAAGTAAGCTCAAGGGTGTAAAGAAAAATTTTCTCTTAAAGAATAAGCAAATAGGAAATAACAGTAGATAAATACAAGTGATTTTTTAAAAAATCAAAATTTTAGAACTAGAAAATTAAATATCTGAAATTTTTAAAAACTTCACTGGATTGGCTTGCATGAGACTAGATTAACAGAAGAAAGACTCAGTGAACTTGAAGATATATCAATGTAAACTTTCCAATCTGAAGAAGAGAGAAAAAAGGTTGGAAAAACAAATAACCAGAGCCTTGGTGACCTGGTTTGGTGGGATGGTGTCAAAACTGGAGCCCCATGAAAAGAGAATAGGACAGAAAAATATTTAACAAAATAATGACCCAAATTTCCCAAACAAAGACTTAAGTATACAGATTCAAGAAGTACAAAGCAGTAAAAATACAAATATCCTGGGCACATCAGAGTCAAAATACTCAGAACTACAAATTATGAAAAAAATCTTGAAGAAAGGCAGAGAAAAACACAAATTACATACAGGAAACAAGAATTAAAAATTGCCACTGACTTCTTACCAAAAAAAGAAAGAAAGAATAAAGAAGTTAGAAGATAAAGTAAATATCATCTCTCAAACTGCTGCAGGAAAAAAGAAAATTGTCAATTCAGAATTCTATTACACCAAAAATATCCTTTAAGAATGAAGGCAAAATAAAGATACACTCATGAACAAAAACTAAGAAAACTAATAGCTAGCAGATCCTCACTATAAAAATGCTTAAGGAGGTCGTTCTATTTGAAGGTAATGATACCTGATAGAATTAGGATCTTAAGGAAAAAAAGAAAATACCAGAAATGGCAAATACTTGAGTAAATTTAAAATATTTTCTCTTAATTAAAATATACTACTTAAATAAAAAACTGGTGTTTTGTGGAATTTACAACATATGCAGATGCAATATATCTGGCAACCACCATATAAAGAATGAGAAGGAGGTAGGAACTGGACCTAAATGATTGAAATGTTCTTAAATTTCATATGAAGTAGTATAATATAAACTCTAAGTAGACCATGACAAGATAAAGGGGCATACTGTAATCCCTAGGGCAACAACTTTAAAAAAAAGAAAATTCAATGCAAAAGAATGCAGAGAAAAGGAATAAAGGATAAAAATAGTAACATGTCTCTGTGCTTAAATCCAATCTCATCAATAATTACATTAAGTATAAACACTCTAGTTAAAAGGCAAAGATTATCAGCATGAATAAAAAAGCAACAAAACCTAACTGTATTCTGCCTACAAGTCAATCATTTTAGTTTTCTATTTATTGATAGTAGTTGATACACAGTATTATATTGATTTCAAATCTACAACACAGTGGTTCAACAGTTACCCATTATTATTAAATCTTCATCCCAACCAGTGCAGTTACTGTCATCAGAAAGATGAAAGAGAACTACTGGCTATTTTCTCCATGCTGTACTACCATCCCTGTGACCAACTTACATTATGATTGAGAATTTTTTGGCCCCTATATCTCCCTCATCTTCACCCACTCAAACCGCTCTCCAATGGTAACCACCAGTCACTTTTCACTGTCTATAAGTCTACTGGTCTTTTGTTCATTTTTTGTTTTTGAGATGCCACAAATAAGTGAAATTATATGGCATTTGTCTTTCTCTACCTGGCTTATTTCACTTGGCATAATACCCTCTAGGTCCATCCGTCGCAAATTGCAGGATTTGTTTTTTATGGCTGAATAATATGCCACTGTGTATACGTGCCACTTCTCTACCCTTTCATCTATTAATGGACACTTTGGTTGCTTCCATATCTATTGTAAATAATGCAGTGATAAACATAGGGGTACATATATCTTTTCAAATCATGGATTTTTGTTTTATTCAGGTAAATTCCTAGAAGTAGAATTACTGGTTCAAATGGTATTTCTATTTTTAGTTTTTTGAGGAATCTCCATACTGCTTTCCACAGTGGCTGCACCAATTCACATTCCCACCAAAAGTGTAGGAGGGTTCCCTTCTCTCCACATCCTCACCAACACTTGTTGTCTTTTGGATAGTGACCATTCTAATTGGTGTGAGCTGGTATCCCACTGTGGTTTTGATTTGCAATTCCCAGATGATTAGGGATATGGAGCACCTTTTCATGTGCCTGCTGCCATCTGAATTTCTTCTTTGGAAAAATGATCATGTCCTCCACCCATTTTTTTTAATTGGGTCATTTTTTTCTGGTGTTGAATGAGTTCTTTGTATCTTTTGAATGTTAACCCCTTATCAAATAAATCACTTAGACATATATTCTCCCATACTGTAGGTTGCCTGTTTGTCCTGTTGATGGTGTCCTTTGCTGTACAAAAGCTTTTTAGGTTGATATAGTCCACCTTGTCCATTTTTTGTTTCCCTTGCCTAAGAAGATATATCCAGGAGAAAACTGCTCATACTTATGTTCATGATATTTTTGCCTATGTTTTCTTCTAAGAGGTTTATGGTTTCACGTTGCACATGTAGGTCTTTAATCTATTCTGAATTCATTTTTTGTACAGAGTTAGACAGTAATCCAGTTTCATTCTCTTGCATGTAGCTGTCCAGTTTTCCCAACACCAGTTATTGAAGACACTGTCTTTTCCTTATTGTATATTCATGGATCTTTTATCATATATTAATTGACCATATATGTGTGGGTTTATACCTGGGCTCTCTATTCTGTTCCCTTGATCTATAGGTCTGTTCTTGTGCCAGAACCATATTGATTGCTATAGCTTTGTAGTATAGCTTGAAGTCAGGAAGCATACCACCAGCTTTGTTCTTCTTTCTCAGAATTGCTTTGGCTATTCAGGGTCTTTTGTGGTTCCATATGAATTTTAGGATTATTTGCTCTAGTTCATTGCAAAATACTGTTGGTATTTTGATAGTGATTGCATTGAATCTGTAAATTGATTTGGGCAGGATGGCCATTTTGACAATATTAATTCTTCCTATCCATGAGCACAGGATCGATTTCTACTTATTTGTATCTTCTCTCTCAGGAGTGTCTTGTTGTTTGCAGAGTACAGGTCTTCATTCCTTAATCACATTAATTCCTAGGTATTTTATTCTTCTTGATGCAATTTTGAATGAAATTATTATCCTGATTTCTCTTTCTGCTAGTTTGTTGTTAGTATATAGGAACACAATAGATTTCTGTGTATTAATTTTGTATCCTGCAGCTTTGCTGAATCCAATTATTAGGTCTATTAGTTTTTTGGTGGAGTCTTTATGGTTTTTATATATATAGTATCATATCATCTGCAAATAGTGACAGTTTTACTTCTTCCTTACCAGTTTGGATACCTTTTATCTCTGTTTTGTTTGATTGCTCTGGTGAGGATCTCCAGTACTATGTTGAATAAAAGTGGTGAGAGTGGGCAACCTTGTCTTGCTCCTATCTAAGAGGAAAAGCTTTCAGCTTTTCACCACTGAGTATGATGCTAGCTGTGGGTCTGTCATATACAGTCTTTATTATGTTGAAGTGTGGTCCCTTTAACCCCATTTTGTTGAGAGTTTTAATCATGATTGGATGTTGAATTTTGTAAAACATTTTTTATCTACTGAGATGATCATGTTTTTAGTATTCTTTTTGTTAATGTGGTGTATTGCATTGATTGATTTACAAATATTGTACCATCCTTGCATCCCTGGAAGAAATCCCACTTGGTCATGATGGATGATATTTTGATGTCATTTTTAATTTGGTTTGCTAATATTTTGTTGAGAATTTTTGCATCTATGTTCATCAGAGATATTGATTTATAGTTTTCTTTTTTTGTAGTGTCTCTCTGGTTTACGTATTAGTGATACTGGCCTCACAGAATGAGTGTGGAAGTATTCCCTCCTTTTTCTACTTTTTGTAACACTTTGAAAAGGTTGGGTATTATCTCTTCTTTAAATGTTTGGTAGAATTTGGCTGTGAAGCCATTTGGTCCTGGATTTTTGTTTGTTGGAAGTTTTTTGATTACCAATTCAATTTTGTTACTGGTAATTGGTCTGTTCAGATTTTCTGTTTCTTTCTGGGTCAGTCCTGGAAGGTTGTACTTTTCTAGAAATTTTTCCATTTCTTCTAGGTTGTCCTATTTACTGGCATATAATTTTTCATAGAATTCTCTAATAATTCTTTGAATTTCTGTGGTAAGACAATCATTTTAAATATAAAGACAAATATGGGTTGAAATTTTTGATTAGAAAAAGATGTTTCACACAAATAGTAAGTACAAGAAGCCTAGAGTGGCTATAGTAATGTCAGAGATCAACTTCAAGACAAAGAGTATTACAAGAAAAAAGACATTTCATAATGGTAAAAAGATTGATTTACCAGGAAGACTAACAAACCCCAAACATATATGCACTTACTACTGCCCAGATGTCCACTCTCCCCAAAGTGATTACAAAACCAATGCAATCTTAATGAAAAGTCCTATAGGTTTTTCCTTAGCTGAAATTGACAGGCTGACTCTAAAATTTATATGAAAATACCAACTGTCATGAAGAGCCACTTGTTCCAACTGTGAATGCCTGATATGTGCACAACATGAGGAGGAATAGGGGACTTTGTAGCATGTTCTCAAGAGGCAATGAGATGTATATTCCCTACTTACCTTTCTGTGCTTTACTAGTAAAGTTCCATCAGGCCCAAACACCGCACAGGTGTTATACAATTTTCCAGCATCTTCTTCAGGAATGGAACCTTTCATTGAGAGGAAAACACACAGGCACAGAAAACATTCTGAATAAAGCATCCTTTTATGATTAACTGGACAAAGGCTTGATAAACTGTCACTTGGGTCCAACAATGTTTACTATCTTCTAAGGGTTATCAGGTTTGTTTTTTCTTGTTGAATATAATCTTTCAGAGATAAACTCCAGAATGTAAATGAAATATAATGAGGTCAGATGTCAAAGATAGGTTTCACAAATAACCATCTGCTTCTTAATTCAGCTTTGAACTCAAGCAACACCTAATCTGTACTTTGGAGCAAAGTTGGGAATTCAGTGTTGCTCAATCTGAATTCACCAGGTCCTGCACATAAATATATCCAAAAAGGCCTTAAGATGGGAACATAAGCTGCAGGACTTTCCATCAGTAAATGCAGTTCCTGCAGTTCTCTCTCTTCTTGCCTTTTCTCCACCTCTTATTCATTTTTAATTCTTAATATGTCATAAAACAGAAATAATTTTGCTATATTTAGTAAACAGTTTTACTGTTCTGATTTATTTAAGCAAATAGAACATTTGAAAGTTAATTTCAAAACCCCACGAAGTTATCTTGATGTATGTGGCCTCTTTATTTTAAAAAAATTCTTAACCCTGCATTAGTACAATGAAAGACACCCAGATATGTTTCCTCCCCTGAGCCTCACCCCGGACTTCTACCTGCCCCTATATTCATACTCCTTTCTCCAGGGAAAATCATCATTATCAGTTTGGTATTTGTCCTTCTACAATATTTACTGCCTTACATACATAACTATAAATAGAAGTTATAACTTTTTCTGTAGGAGATTTATCTGAATGGGAACACCTGTTCATATCATATGGAACTTACTCATTTTCCATATAACATTGTGTCTTGAAAATGTTTCCACATAACTACATATAGATCTACCTCATTCTTTTCAATGGCTAATTTGTATTCCAAGGTTTAAAAATAACACCAAAAATTAGTCACATGTTTTAAATGCATAGGCCATTTCTACCTTGAGGGTAGGAAGTTACCTCCAATGAGATACAAGCTGCATTCCTTTGCTACTTCAGAAAGTTTCTGTGTTGATTCACCAGGAATATTTTCTGCATATTCAGGAAAGTATTTCGTGCCATATGGAGAATTAAAGCATTCCTAGAATAAAGTTGGCAAAGAAAAAAGGGAAAAAACACCAAAACACCCACCACATTTTAGAGTTCTGCTGTAAGAAGAAATAGCTGCTTTTTCCAGCTCTGCTCTCAGAGGGGAAAACACAGCTGATAAGAAAAACACTGACACCCCAGGGGTACAGAGCCTGTAGCCACAGGCAAGACTCAGCAGCTGGGGCTAGAGGAAAAAAGTGTGTGTGCCCCCAGATCCTACCATTTTGGCAGAAGGCCAAACCTGCCTCTCTCCATGAGTTCCCAACCTTGGGCACCCAGGCCCCACTATAACTGGGCAAAATCACAGGACTGTGGCTTTTAGAATGAACTCACAGGTGCAAAACTATATTAGTGACTATGTAAAGCAAAAAAACCTGTGCTTGAAAAACCAGAAACTTTGAAAACCTCAGAGGTTAAGACATTTCTTCATCTGTAAAATGATCTGTGTCTAAGCTCCCTTCTAGCACTATCATTCTGATCCTGCCAAATCTCTCATTCCCCAGGATATGTTTGTCCTCTATAGCTGTCATAGAAGAAAAACAGAAACTACTAGACTTCAATTCTAATTCATTTGTTTCCCATTGAGACTGCCTGTGTACCAGGCACTGGGCTGGAACACTCAAGCCCAAGGATCACCAGCTTGTACAGGACTCATGTTATAATGAAAAGGCACATGCAGAATTCGAGGGTTTGCACTCCTGGTCTTTAGACTCTGACTCCCAGCAATTTAAACCACCAAGAAACCACGATGGGGTACAAGTACAGGTGAGCCCTGTGACTGGAGCTGCAAGGAAAACTAGATTAACATTCAGATCTGGAGCTCCCTTGGCAAAGAGTCCTATTCACTGGCCACACCTGTGATGGCTAGGAGCCTAAAACACAAGGTGGCCCCCAAAATTCTTCAGTCAGCCTAAGCAGGGTTTTGCAAAGGGTTGCCTACTACCTGTAGTGGGAAAGAGAGTGGAGGAGGGGGACTGTCTGGAATAGTTCTACCACTGACCTCAGCAGGCTTTTGCTAGTAGATACATGTCCTGACACGTGCAGGACCCTTCTCTGGGGCTAATCTCATACTTGCTGACAAACAAATGTGGTGCAGCCTTCAATTGGTTTTCTCAAAGAAATCACCAGGGAAAAAGAGGCAGCATTCCACTAGCTTACTACAGGCTATTGCATTTGGATAGATACCCCAGGCTTCCCAAAAGTTTGTAACAATTTTCAGTTTTCAACAATTTTTTGAAAATGCTGGAGGTTTAACACTAAGATCAGTTTGTCCTGGTCCTGTAAAGACTTATTACACAAGGAAAGAAGGTAAGTATACAATGTGCTGAGTATTTTAGCTTGTTCATATCATATGGAACTTAACTCATTTTCTATATAACATTGTGTCTTGAAAATGTTTCCACATAACTACATATAGATCCCTGTGGAGAAAATGGAAGTGCCTAGGGCCAGGATCCTGACCCTAAACTACTTGATATTATAACTGGCCTACTGCTAGGCTAATGTTCCCACGCCCACTGGCAATGAGCTATTATTGACTGAGTCACTCCATCAAATGCTTTGGGTGGAGGCAGAGACAGAGGTGGATTACGGACCTGCAGGCTGCTGGATCCAGATGTGTTTCTAGTACTCGACCTACTGTCATGAGAATAAAGCCAGGAATAACCCTTTTACCCCAAGAATGTTCCATTGTCATTTTTCAGTCTCACAGAATCCACAGTGAACCTGCCCAGGGCTGAAACCCGAGGGCAAGACAGTCTCTCACCTACCAGGATTCTGAACAGAGTAGATGATCCTAAAGACAAAGACCTGTAACCATGTTGGCACACATCCTGTCACAAAGAGCCTTGCTAGAGTCATCTTCCAGACAAACAGAACAATCCTGGAGTCCCACAGGGCTGTGCTGGACCCCGGGACACAAGCGGGCAACCAGGGCTAGCAGATGCAATTCTGCTGAGTCAACAGCTCCCAGAAGGGAGCAGCTGCCTCCATACTTACCGGAAGAGAAATTATTTTGGCTCCTTGCTTTGCTGCCTCCCGGACAAGGCCACAAGCTCGAGTGAGGTTATCTGATTTGATGGAAGAAACCCGAAGCTGGATGAGGGCCAGGCGGAAAGCTGAGGATGAAGATAAAAGAACACAGCTGTCCGAAGATCTGACTAAGGAATCTGAGCAGCAGCTCTCCGCGGGAGGGTCACTGGCCCCCAGGACATCCCGCACGCCTGCAGCACTGACCTTCATAACCTGTGGGCCACCACTGGCATCTGCTTAGCAGGCAGGGGCACCGCTAAACATGCCCCAACGAGGACAGTCCCTCACAACAAAGAGTTATCCAGTTCAAAGTGCCAAAAAGGCTGAGGCTGAGAGACCTGGAGCCCTGCGCCAGGCACAAAGATCTGAAGTGAACCCTGCAAAAGGTGTTCTGAGCACTAAGCCCTCTGTCCACTGCAGCTTATTTGGGACAGCCAAACCCAGAAACAGCCTTCAGCCTGTCCTTGGACAGGTGACTGGCTCACAAACTTCACACGGAAAAAAAAAAAAAGAATCTGAAGTGAAGTAGGCACGACCAGCTTCTTACATACGAATGAGAACATGGCCTGAAGACTGGGTCTGAATGTGGAACTATCCTTTCCTATTTGGTCGTGAGCCTCCACCTTCCCCGGATCCAGGTACTGGGTGCTTCTCAGCGCAGAAGTGAAATCCCTTGGAAGTCACTGACCCACCTTGAGTTGGGGCAGCTGACCCGGGGGAAGGGGAGATGCCTGTCTCAGCTTTCCCATCACCAGCTGGGACACTGTGCATTGGTCCAGATGCTGGCAGGAGGGGGAGCCTGCCAACCGGTGGGCTGTACATGTGCCTGCTCACAGGCCAGGGCCCCTGGTCTGTGCTCACCCCATGAATACCCTGTGCCCCAAGGAGCACAAAATTAAGTGCCAAATAAAAAAACAACATGAGAGGTTGAAAGAGACACTGCGGGGAAAAGCTAACACTGCTTTTTCTTGCAATCTGAATAAGAGGCTTTACATTTTCACTGGGGACTGGGTCCCACAAATTATGTAGCAGCCCCACCAACAGATAAGTTGTCAGCCACGGGACAAGGAGGTGAGGCTCTTCTAGGCTAAATCCCTCCTGGAGGTAGCAGCTACACATTACATTTGCTTTTCCTATATTTTTTAGAGTTCTCTTTTAGCTCTTGGAGTAATCACCTTTTACTGGTTGATAATTCTTTATATATACATTTCTCCTGTTCAAGTGACTGGCGTGGTTTCTGTGCCCTGCCAGGACTCTGACACATAGTTTCTGCTCATAGTCTTATGGAGGGCTGCATTAAAGGATCTAAAGCATGTCACAACTACAAAACTTGGCCAGACTTCAGGACTTATCAGTAATAGCCTGTCCTAGCTTCCCTCCCTAACCTCTGCTCTAGAGTCTAAAAACCCCACCATTAGTTTTCTCTCTGGGCATCTCCTGGACCAGTGCAGGCATCCCCAGAAGGCAACACTGATGGACCTGGCCTTTGATGAAGGCTGGTTTGGTTCAGAGTTAACTCTAAAAGCAGGAAAAGCAGATGATCCATTCCTTGGTTTATCCTAAATAAAGTGAGAAGAGCTAAATTTAACTCTGAATGCAGCTTGTTAAATAGTTTCAGAATCTGAATGAAAACAAAGGGAAGTAAAACAGGAAACAAAAGTGGAAATTATTTTGGGGCAAACAGATACCTTGAGCAGTCACCAGAACATCACACACACACCCTAAAGGTATCCACTGTCAGAAGTTGGGTTTTGTCTCTGCTCCTGAGGGAGGGACAAATGAAGTCCGCCATGGCTGTGTGATGGCTTCCCCTCTCCCATAACCTATCCAGAAAGGCAGCTGTCCTGAACCAGGCTTGGAAGTGCCTGACATTCTGCACAGAGGGGCTAAGGTAGGGAAATCGGACCACAGGGGAGTTCTTGATGCTGAAGACGAGATACTAGCTGTTAAATGAGAATACAGTGACCTCTAAGGTCCCTGGCTGCCTTATAGTCATTGTCATCAGTGAAGGACTTACCAATGGAAATAAGGAGTAAAATACCTTGAGTGAAAGGACCAACACTGAAACAGCATAAGGAACATGCCAGGTGCTTTACACGTGTTAGCATCTGTGATGTATCAGTAACACTATTTTGTAGATGAGAAAGTTAAGAGGTTTGCAGGAGGCAAGTTGTACAGAGTCACTGAACAAAGTAAGTGGCACAGCAACAGCTGATGCCAAAACCTGGAACCGTAAGGCAGGACATGAACCTTGTTTGTGTCACCTGTTTTTTTGGTGGTTTGGAGGGAGGGTCATGTAACTTGAAAACTGTCCTCAAGGGAGTCAGATTGGTAACACCTTACAGCTCTCAAGTGCATCAGCCTGTCATGGCCTGCCTCTTCAAAGATACCATTCACAGCCAGAGGGAGATGTGTAAAAGGGCTTCTATACCGCGATCCTGAACATTCCTTCAGCCATCAACTTGCCCTGCACTCCAGTAGGTTGATATGAAAAACAGAGAGCTCTCCCACAAACCTTATCATCTCACGGGAGCTTCACAAGACCCCGGAGGGGCAGTTTGTGTCTATTTTACAGGAAACCCCTGGACCAGTGCAGACGTCCCCAGAAGAGGCAACACTGATGGACCCGGCCTTTGATGAAGGCTGGTTTGGTTCAGAGAGATTAGATGACTATTGACATGGGCTATGCCAAGATTGTAATAACCCAGGTTTTCAGACTATGAGTCCAGAACACTCCACTGCCCCATATAAAAGAACTTGGCAAAGACGTGGGGACGAACACAGCTAGAAACACTCCTGGTGCTGATCCAAGAGGGGGATGTGCAGGTAACACGTAATACCTAACCTGAAAGCTCAATGTCCAGATGCAGAAACAACCTGTCCAGTTTTTTTGTTCAGATTGAGAGGGCATTTTCCAGTGAGTGTGAACAGGTGCAAATTAACCAGTCTTTTTTACCATAAAGCCCAAATCAAAGAAAACAGGAGCTTCGTTTTCTTGTGACAGGTCTCAAACCACAAATAAGTACGGTTGATGCCCGCGCAGAACCCAAGCACAAAAATGAGTGTTAAGGTGCAGACTGTGAAAAGAACCCCGCTGGACAGTCCCGCCTCTGATGCAAAACTCTAAGCGTCTCCGAGAATCCCACAGGTCGGAGGCTCCCACACTTTAATCCCTGAAGGCTTCCTCACGGCAAGTTCAGTCCTGGTCGGCGGGAGGGAAGGCGTGCAGGCGGGTGAGGAACCTGCGTTTAAAATGACCACCCCTCCCCCACCCCTCCTCGCGCCCAGGCGGATTTGGAGTGCGTGGCCTCGGAATCCAGCTTTAAGCACAGCCTCGCGGGCCTCAGGCGGGGCCCGGAGGCCGCCGGAAGCCCGAATCCCGGGGCTGTTCCGGGACGCGCTCTCCGCCTCCTTCCCGCCCCCGTCCGCCCCAGCCCCGCGAGCACCGGGTCACGGAAGACCACAGGCGCTGCGACGCGCGAGGCCGAGGCGGCGAGACCCTCCGCCGGCCCCGCCCGCGCCGCCCGGCCTCCGGCCGGAGCTCGGCCCGCCGCGTACTCACTGGCCATAGCTCTCCCGGGCAGCGGCGGCATGGCCGGCGGCGGCGGAGCGCCGGGCTGGGCCGCGCGGGGGGCGTGGCCCTGCCCCGGCTCCGCCCTCCCCGCCCGCCAGGCCCGCGGCTAGGCGGGCGGGTGCCTGCGTGTGCAGGACGGGCTCAGTAGGAGCTGCTGGTCGCTGCACAGTCCAGAGGAAGAACGCCCCGAAAGCCGAAGGAACAGGGACCGGGCGGCCGCCATCGGGGTGGTGTGCTGTCACTGCTTAACACCCCGCCTCTCCGATTCTCGGCTCGAGGACTGAACTTCTTGCTGGCGGCATCACCTTTGTGGCGGTGTTGTCACCACCTGTTGACTCCCTTGGGCTATTTGAACAAGTCGCTGTGACCGGGATGGAATTATACAGGTTGGCCTAGGCACTCAAGACTTCACTGGGCTCTGACCTCAAAGCCGCTACGTAATGGGGGAGGGGGAGAAAACAGTTCAAACACAGTATCTTCAACAATTCAGGCCTCTAATACACTGAAATCTGTTCATTTCGCTTTAGGATTTTATGTTTATTAAGATTGCTTTTTGATTTTTGTGTTTTGTGTGCTTGTGCTTTTGTCAAGTTTGGAGATGAAAAATCAAAAAGCTTGCTACCATTTTGAATGCTCTGGAATAGCCTATGTTGAAATGGATCTTAGTTTTTAAAAGAATATTATAAAAAACATTTTGGGGACAATTAGGGATATTTAAATATGACGTGGATATTTGATGATTTAATGAATTTTGTGTGATAATGATATTTTATGCCAATCAAGGTCTTTACTACTGAGGAGATAAATGCTGAAGGATTTAGGGGGGATGTCGGAATGTCTGACTTGAAAATGGCCAGCAAAAAGAAAATATGTGCCTAATGATAAAGCAAATATGGAAAAAAGTCAATTAAATCTAGGAGGAGGATTGTTCATGGTTCTTATTTTAAGACTTAAAAAAAGTTTTTCACATTTAAAAATTTTAATAATAAAAAGTTAGGGGGAAATGCATAACAATTATGGCATTTCCTAAGCTTTAACAGACTCTCTGGACCTGGCTGTGTAGCAGGAAGATCATGAATAACCTTTTAATTTCTGCTATGCTTATTAACCTGCTGAGGTTCCTGAGTCAATACTGGCCACATACAATTTGTAAACAAAACAACAAAACAAAACAGAAAAAGCTACCCATTTCATGTAGATTTATTTGCCAGTTTGACCCTACAACTAACAGTGTTCTAAACATGGCTGCACATGGTATTGGCACATGCAGGTGGAGATGCCCAGGGGGCAGTTAGAAGCCTCAAGCTCAGATGTCCAAGCTGGAGATTGACTTAGGAGTCATCAGTAGTTTAAGATGACGCTTTGAATGCAGATGACAATGCATGAGTGGAGTGTGAAGGGCACAGGCAGAGAAGGGGCCTGTGAAGCCTGGGAAAGAGCCATCCGGACGAACCAGGAGAAGGCCAGCAAGACCAAGAACCTGTGAGTGTTCCCCACGGTGTATATAGGGAAGCTGCTGCTTTGGATTCTAGAGAAGCAAAAGGAAATAAACATGAAAACTGTTCCTGAACTTTCCTTTAGAACTTCTGGGCAAAATGGAAAAAAGCTAGTCACTGGGTTCCACTTCTGGCTCTGTCACCAATTTGATCTTAATATGTAGGGCAAATCACCTTACTCTCAGGACCTTTTTCATTGCCTGGAACACAAAAGGATTCAGAGGCAGGGTGCTGAGTTTGTGTAGCCTCCCTGCTACCACTCCACTCCCTGCCCCTTTAACTGCAGCAGCTCTGCCTTCATGTTTCCACGTTTCCTTTCATCTGACATTCAAGAAGTAGCCAAAGAATAAAACTTTATACTAAATGGATTTCTAAGCTAAAAATCTGGTATTGCCAACCATGTCTCACAGCTTTAATGACCATTTCCAGGCTGGTACCGGTCAGGTTTCTATTTTTACTCCAGCGAGGCTTATTCCAGCATCTCCAGCTGCCTGTGAACCATCTCTGTTTAAATGTTTTGACATCAGTTCAAACTCATCTGAAACTGAATTGGTCATCTGTAAAAGAGCTTCTCCTCCCAGCTTTCCTTTTTCACTCATAGGCACCATCATTTGTGCCATTTTCTAATTCTTCCCAAATACCTAAGCTGGCAACTTGAAGGAAAAAAAGTGAATAGTGAACTGAAAAAGTCCCCTAGCTCTGGCCTACTGTTTCCAGGCGAGCATACATCAAAGTGATGGGGCCTAGTGTATCACTTATGAGCATGAACTCTGGAATTAGAATGTCTGTTTTTAAATCCTGCTCTCCCACTTATTTGCTGTATAATCTTAGAAGTCATTTATCCTCTTTGTGCTTTTATTCTTCCATCCATAATATAGGGATGATTCCACACACAGCGTAAGATTATTGTGGGGATCACAAAATACTGTAAGTGCTTAGAAACAACTTGGCAGAATAACAGCTGCATAAATGTTATCCATTAGAAGCCAAATGTCCAAATAATGCAGATCTCCTGATTTTTAAATATTGCCGCCGAGTTCAATGTCAGAAATGATGTGGGCCACACAAAATGTCATATTCTGCTTTAAGCAGCCAGCGTGCAACTTGTGCTATTCTTGTTTCCATTCATTTGCTCAGCAAATAAAGGTTGATCACCACTGCCTGTCAGGCACTAATGTAAGCATGGGGATATGATAGATACTTCACATGCACAAAAGTAAGTCTAAATTTCTTTAATCTGCTTCTTCACAAATTAGTTGGAAAGATGAAATAAGAAATGTGAAAATTCTAAGAAAATACATTTATGTTGCACTTTGAAAACAGAATCTGTTGAATTGATTTATGAGCTATTAATTTAAAAAGTTTTTTTCCATACAGTTAAACTGATCATCTTGGGGTAGTTCTATGAGTTTTAGTATGTTACAGATTTGTGTAACTAGACAACAATCAAGATACAGAACAGTTCCAGCACCCTACAAATTCCCTTGTTCTGCTTCTTCATAATCAAACCCTCTCCTTACTGGTGGCAGCCACTGATCAATTCTAATTTTGCCTTTTCCAGAATATAATATAAATGGAATCATGCAGGATTTATTTTGAGAGTGACTTCTTTCATATGGTGTTCCGCCTTTGGGATTCAGCCATATATTGATAATTCATTCCTTTTATTGCTGAGGAGCATTACACAGGATGGAAGGACTGATCTGCTTATCCATGACCTCCTGGAGGACATTTGGGTTGTTGCCTGCTTTGGGCAACTATAGGGCCTCTATAAACATTCTTGTCCAGGTTTCTGTGTGAACATGTTCTAATGTCTTTAGGGTAAATACCTAGGAGTGGGATTGCTGGGTTATTAGTTAATGTATGTTTGACTGTATAAGAAACTTGTCTAAAGTGGCTGTACTATTTTGCATTCTCATAAGTAATGTATAAATGTTGTAGCTGTTCCACATCTTCAGCAGCACTTGGTGTTGTCAGCTTTTGTTTTCAATGTTAGCCACCCAAACTAGGTATTCAGTGGCATCATTGTGGTTTTGATTTGCCTTTCCCTAGTGGTTAATGAGGTTGATTATCATTTTATGGGCTATTTGTCATTCATATATCTTTTTTGATGTGTTTGTGTTCAAATCTTTTGCCCATTTTTTAATGGGGCTTTTTAAAAATTGAATTGTAGTTGATATACATTGTCAATATTATATTGGTGTCTAATTGGGTTGTTTCTTACTGTTGAACTCTGAAGTCTTTATATATCCTCAATATGAATCCTTTGTTGGATATGCTTTCCAAGTATTTTTTCCCAGTAGGTAGCTAGTCTTTCCATTCTGTGAAAAGTGTCTTTGGCAGAGCAAAATGTTTTGATTTTGATAAGATTTAAAAAAATTTTTTTATGGATTATACTTTTCATATTTTATCTAAGAACTCAAGGTCATAAAATTCTCCATCTTCATCTACTAGGGTAATTAGGTGTAAATTTTACATTTAGCTATATGATCCATTTTGAGTTAATTTTTTATATAAGGTATGAGGTACAGGCTGAGGCTTATTTTTTTGTATGTGGATATCCACTTGTTCCATATGTTGAAAAGACAATCCTTCCTCAATTTTACCACTTTTGAACCTGTCAGAAAAAAACCCATTATTTATATGGGTTTACTTCTGAACTATATATATTGTGTTGATTTATGTACCTATCCTTTTTACCCGTACCTGTATTAATTACTGTAGCTTTATAGTAAGTCATAAAATTGGGTAGTGAGTCCTCTTTGTTCTAACTTTTCAAAATTGCTTTGGCTATTCTAGTTCCTTTTTCTTCCCATGTGAATTTTAGAATCAACTTGCCTACATTAACAAAAAATCTTGCTGGGATTTTAATTGGAATTACACCTATAGTTCATCTGGGGAGAACTTGGACCCTATATTATATTCCAATCCATGAACATGGTAGGTTCTCCATTTATTAGGTCTTTTGATTTCTTCCACAAGCATTTTGTAGTTTGCAGTATAGAGATCCTGCATGTTTTGTTAGGTTTATACATACATAGCTATTTTGTTTTGAACTACTGTAAATGGTATTTTTAAAAAAGCTTTTCATTTCCAATTGTTCACTGCTAGTATACAGATATCTTAAAAGCTTTTGTATGTTGAACATTTACCTTGTAATCTTACTAAAATGATTCAGACAGTAACATTATCTGTGAATAGGGACAATTTTATTTCTTCCTTTCCGATCTCTAATTTCTTTTCCTTGCCTTATTGCACTGGCTAGGACTTCTAGGGCAATGTTAAGGAGTAAATAGTGAAAGTAGACATCATTAAATGTTACCAATCTTTATGGGAAAGTATTCAGTATTTAATCATTAAGTCGGATGTGAGCTATAGGTTTTCAATGGACAACCTTTATCAGGTTAATGAAGTTTCCTTCTAGCCTACAAAGTAATTTAAGTTTTTGTATCATGAATTAACACATTTACAAACTCTTCCAAAATACAGAAGAGGAGGGAACAATTCCCAACTCATTCTGTAAGACCTGTATTACCCTGACACCAAAGCCAAAGACATCACAAGAAAACTACAAATCAATATCCCTTATGAACAAAAAGGCAAAAATCCTCAATAAAATAATAGCAAAAGAATCTAGCAACACACAAAAAGGACTGCACACCATGACCAACTGGGATTTATCCCTAGTAATAGAAGGTTGGTTTAATATATAAAAACCAATCAATCTAATAAAGCTTATTAATACAGGAAAACACCATGTGACCATCTCTACAAATACAAATAACAAAACATCTTTTTACAAAATCTAACACCATTCATGATAAAAATGAACATTTTTGTTTTGGACAATGTTGTTCGCCCTTAAAATTTGTTGTAGCCCTAACCACTAATGTGATGATATTTGGAAATGAAGCCTTTGGGAGGTAATTAGACTGAATCATGAGAATAGAGTGAATCACGATGGGATTAACACTCATATAAGTGGGGAAGAGGGAGGGAGAGAGGGAGGGGGAGAAAGCACACAGGAACAAGCAGTCATGCATGAGCAAGCTCTGCAGGAGAACAAAAGGCAGGCTATGTGAGTCACAGTGCAAAGGTGGCCATCTGCAATCCAGGAAGAGAGCTCTCACCAGACCCTGACCAGGCTGGCACCCTTATCTTGGACTTCCAGCCTCTAGAACTGTGGGAAAATACATTTTTTGTTGTTTAAGCCCCCCAGTCTATGGTATTCTGTTATGGCAGCCTGAGCTAAAATACTCAATAAACTAGAAATAGAACTTCCTCAGCCTAATAAAGGCCATCTATGGAAAACTCGGAGCTAATATATTCACACTTAATGGTTAAATTCTAGATGCTTTCCCCCTAAGATCAGGACAAGGATGTCTGCTCTTGCCACTTCTATTTAACAGTGTACTTGAAGTTTTAGCTTAGGGCCATTATGTAAGAAAATGAAATAAAGGTACCCAGATTGGAGAGAAAGAGGTAAAACTCTGTTCATAGATTATAGGATTCTGACTGTAGAAAATCCTAGTGAATCCACACACAAAAAAACTGTTAGAACTAATTAAAAAATTCACCAAGGTTGGAGAATACAAAATCTTATACAGTAATTATATTCTCTACATTTGCAATGAACAATCTGAAAATGAAATCAAGAAAACAGTTCCATTTATAATAGCATCAAAAGGAATACTTAGGAATGTACTTAATAAAAAAAGTGCAAGACTTGTACACTGAAACACTATAACATTGAAAGAAATTTTAAAAGACTTAGAAATGGAAAGACATCCTATGTTCATAGACTAGAAGGCAGTGTTGGTGTTGTTAAGATGGCAATCCCTATCAAAATCTCTTGAAAAAGATCATAGCTGGAGGCCTCACACTTCCCAATTTCAAAAGTTACTACAAAGCTACAGTAGTCAAGACAGTGTGGTCCTGGCATAAGAAAAGATTTATAGACAATGGGATAGAAATGAGAGTACAGAAATAGAACCTCAAAGTTATGGTTCACTTGTTTTCAACATGGGTGCCAGACTGTTCAAAGTGGAAAAAAATCTTTTTAACAGATAATGCTAGGACAACTGGATATCCACATGAAAAGAATGATGTTGAACCCCTACCCTCATATTATATACAAAAATAAACTCAAAATGGATCAGTGATCTAATTTTAAAAATTAAAACTATAAAACTCTTAGAAGAAAACATAGGAATAAACCTTCATTATCTTCAATTAAATAACGGATTCCTTAGCTATATTAAAAGTACTAAGTGATAAAAGAAACAAATAAGCTGAACATCACCAAAATTATAAACTTTTATGGTTCAAAGGGCACCATCAAGAACGTGAAAAGACAACCCACAGAATGGGAGAAAATGTTAGCAAATCATGTATCTGATAAGAAATTTGTATCCAGAATACATAAAAAAAACTCCTACAACTCAGCAATAAAAAGACAAATAACTCAACTTAAAAAAGTAGGCAAGGAATCTGAATCAACAGTTCCCCAAAAAATATATACAAATGGCCAATAAACACATGAAAAGATACTCAACACCATTAGTCATTAGGGAAATTCAAATGAAAACCAGAATGAGATACCACTTCGCATCCTAGAATACCTGTAATAAAAAAAAATAATAGTAAGTGTTGGTGAGGAAGTAGAGAAATTAGAGCACTCATACATTGCCAGTGTGAATGTAAAATTATAAAGCCCATCTGGAAAATAGTTTGGAAGTTCCTTGAAAAGTTAAATGCAGAATTAACACATGACAGAGTAATTCCACTCCTAGGTAAATACCCAAGAGAACTGAAAACTTGTCAACACAAAAACTTTATTTTTGTACATTAATTTCAAAGCAGTGTTATTCATAATACCCAAAAAGTGGAAGCAACCCAAATGTCCATCAACTACTTAATGGATAAATAAAATGTGATATATCCATACTATGGAATATTATTCAGCTGAAAAAAGAGGAATAAAGTTCAGATACATGTTACATGCAATAAGCTTGAAAACATTATGCTAAGTGAAAGAAGCCAGACTTTATGATTACTTTTATCATGAAATGTCCAGAACAGGCAAATTCATAGAGACAGAAAATTAGTGGTTGCCAAGGGCTAGAGGAGGGTGGGTAAGGAGAATGACTGCTGTTAGTATGGGGTTTCTTTTTGGAGTGATGAAATATTCTGGAATTCTATAGTGGTAATGG